GACCATCGACGATATCTGTTCGGGAGAATAGGATTTCGGCTCGCCCCGATACATCACGTTTATCCTGGGTTTGTCGTCCTCGCCGCTGATAACCTCGAACGGCCAGTTCTCGATTTCCTCGAGCACATTAGGATCGTCGTTCTTTAAACCTATGATGCGCTTTATGTCGTATACGGTGTTGGTGGGATTCGTGCCGGCCTGATTTTTAGCAGCCTCGCCTATCAACCTCTCCTTGTCGTTAAAGGCCACGTAGGACGGTGTGGTCCGATTGCCCTGGTCGTTTGCGATGACCTCCACCGTTCCATTCTGAAAGACGGCAACACACGAGTAGGTAGTGCCGAGATCGATGCCGATAACAACGTCGGACGATTCTGACGATGGCATGTCGATTAGGTGTATTTGGAGCGTCGAACCGTCGGCGTGCTGCGAGATACGCTACTTATCACGGTGTGTCGTCTTCCACCCCCCAGGCGCGAGATGTTTGTTCATCTCGCCTGTTATTTTCGTGATTGCATTTTTAAACCGCGCATGCGATTCCGAGAAGATTGCACGGGCATGGGACGTCTATGCTGCGCGTGGGGTATCTAACACGAACGACAGCTCCTATCGAGAGATGTCGGTCGAACGTCTCAGGTGAACGAGAGAGCGCAGGACATATTACCGATAAAATAAAAATGTCGTCGTCGACTTCTAACAACGACAGCGAAAAGTTTGTGAATACCTTCTTGGATTTACACGATCTTCTGTCGGACGAAAGTCACCACAGTAACGACTGGAAGACCGACTTCGAAAAGAAGATATACAACGACTTGCGCGCACTAGACGCGTCCTCGCTATTCGAGTCTCTCTTAAATTTTTTACTGGACGACACCCACACCGTCAAGAGGGAAGTCGAAGAGACGACGGCTCACAGCACGAGAGGGGAGAGTGGATATAACGGCATCGACAAACTCCTCGAATTAAACGAAGAAGATTATGACGTGAAGACGCTCGTTACCGGAAACCTCCTGCGAGGCGAAAATCACAGAAAAGCGCTAGCTCTAGAAATAACGCACGGCAATAAATACGCAGGGCTATTTGCCGCCATTGTCAATGTAATGTATCGCTATCTAAAGTTATCCAAGATCATCTGGGTGCACTTTTGGGGAGTTACCAAGATTGAAGACATATTCACCAGCCGTACATTGAGCCAGGAAGAAAACGAAGAGAAGAGCGAGGCAAGGAAAAGGACCATCCAGAAAATTAACCACATAATCGCACAACACACATCGAAAAAATATACAGATCAGAACGACGATAAAATAAATACAAAGTTCGCCGAAAGAAACGAACCCCCTATGAAAACTATCATTGTCGATGTGATCTATCCCTACCTATTAGCTTTGAAAAATATAGAATGAAGATGACGGCGACGGCGACGCCGCCGATGATGGTGAGGGTGATAACTCTGATGACGAAAAAAACAGCTCTTCTCTGGCCGTTTGTGGAGGCGTTATTATTTTTGATGTTCATTTTGTCTGTTGCGATCGCTGTCGTCATGTGGTACGGTAAGCGTCATCGAGATCGACACGAAAGATACAATGCGCCAGAGAGAGAAAGAATATATCCCATATTTCTGATAGGTCGAGACGTACCAGACGGGAAGGCTTGCGTCAAGGAACGCTATCTCAATATGGAGGAGTTCATACTGTTTACGATACTCTTTAGAACAGTACGAGAATTTAAACCTCTAACCTGTAAAGACGATTTAGGATGGTATCATTATGTCTATCACATTTCGGGTTGTGTACTTCGTGACATTTTGTGGCCCGACAAAGAAAAAGAAGAAGATATAAATAATGTTGATTCGACTACGTTTACTATTCTAAAAACGATATCGTCTCATGAAGAAAATCAGCTGTACATAGACTACGTTTACGAATTACAAAAAGGAGAATTCGATATAGTGCGCAATGTTAGTATTAGAGGCGATACGAAATGGATGATACAGAATGTTGATGATTTACTCGGAGACGTGCATATCGTAAAGAAATAGATAGAACGTTATCCAATGGGAAAGGCAGTATAGTACAATTCGATACGGAGTCCTCTCTGTTGATCATCCATACCTCAAGTATATTTTTTTTCCGGCAACACCTGTCTTCTCTCGAATCATCGAAACGTTATTGTGTCTTTTTGTGGAACTTGTGAATGGCCTTCCTATTTTTCGGCGGCAACCGTTCTTCTCTGGTAATCTTTTCTATTTCGACGAGGATTAGTTTGTCTCTGTTGATAATCTGTACATCGATACTTTGTCAGCAGTAGCTGACATAATCCGGCTATTTTAATTGTACGGTAACGATGAGGAGAAATCGAAACAATACATATACATATAATCGAATGCGAAAAACGCAATCGAGTACGAAAACTACTATGCTACTAGTAACAATAAGAGGAATACGAATAAGAATAACAAGATCTAGAATTACAACAACAGCAGGGATAAAGTGATGGGGCTTAAAAATGGAACCGGCGCTTATAGTATGGTTTATGGGAATAACCCCTTGTTTGTCAACATTATCGATGAGAAGGAAAAAGTATACAACAGCGCTGTCGAGATAGTAGATCTGCCGACTATAAGTATGACCGCCCTAGTGAGCTTTGCGAATAGCTGCATGTTCTCGAATCGTTTTATCGGACAACTCGTGGTATTTAGAGATCGAATATCGGGTACGGTGATTGCAACCCTAAGAGATTCTAACTGTGTGATATCGGAAGACAGTTATCCGCTCGGCAACACCGACGAATGCATTGTACCCAGAAGAACACTAAATTGTGAAGATGAGATATTTTACAGGGATTCTTACTTCAGACTTGCTAGTAAAATACAAAAGGCGAACCGAGAGAGTTTTATTACGATTGTTCCAATTCGATCTCCGTCAGACGAAGAAATGAAATCGTACATTGATTCTAGGTCGTTTGATGACGACGACGAGCAGGACGCTGATGGCGATGTTGAGAAAGAAGAAAAAGAGGCATGTAGAAAGGTCTGCAACGACATATTTCCCAAAGACGATGAAAATAACGTGAACATTGATGATGATGATGGTAGCAATTCCTTAGTAACGAATAGAAGAAGAAAAAGACAAGAGAGAATAGGAATGCTGATTAACGATCCTCATTTTGTCACTTTCGATGAGCTTGCTAGCTTTGGTTGCAATGGAGAATGGGTTCTAAAATGTTACGGTTTACTTAAACGATTCGAGGGAATCGTTCTATTTGTTGCACAGGATATAATCAGGAGACTATTGGAAATTCTACCTCAAAGAGAGGCCGGTTCCGCACGTCACGTTTTGCTGCTGAACGACGGAGAATGTCACCCCATAAAACAAAAGGAGAGAAACACAAGAAAGGCGATCAGGGACAACGGCACAGTGTACGCAAGCAGGCACACTGCTACTGTCACGACGACCACGAATCTCGAAGCCGTAGAAAAGAGATGTCGCCTCGGCGTGTTGAGAAGATTTCTGTTACGCATTCCGGCCTGCATCCTCAATCATTATCTGCTGAGCGTGTTGCGAATACCGTTAGTGTGCAGATTAGGAGCCAAAACGGTCTTTTACAACAAAACCGATCGGTCGGAAGCCGAAACGATAATGGTCCACATGGCCGGTTATCTATGCAATTTGAGCATGCCGCACAAACGACATTTGAGCGAGAGAAAGTTGACCCATCTCGATGCGAGCACCCTACTCTCGTCCGTCAACGAACGCGAAGCGGCAGACGGAAGACGCCGAAATTGGCATTACACCTGGAATGACTTTAGAGAGAAAATAAGATGCGACGGCCCCCTCGTGATTAACCTGTACTCCTCCGACAGCGACGTGCTTCACAAGTGGAACATGTGCGCCAGCCACAGCGTGGCTCTGAGTGGAAGTATCAAATTACCGCGTTATGTGACCGGCGTTCGATTCTATAGAACCATGATGAGAAACTTTTCGAAAACGTGGATGCCGCCCTTCCCGTCCCCGGTGTTGCACGGACCACAGCAGTATCAGGCGCGTTACGAATTGACGGTTACTCACGTACCGCACGATATGGATGCCGGCATGCTTCTCATGATATTGTGCGGTTCCGATTACAACGACGCCGGAATAACCTTCAACGAGTCGCTAGAGATAGTTTATCGAGAGATGTTAAACTTTAAGAGGCTGGCGTGTACTTGTCACAGAGGATGGAAATGTCTTCAATCTTGTAACTCCCCAAAAGTCACCAGATGGATCTTGGATAATTTTAGATAGCGATACATTACATTGACAATGGTGGCAAATAGCCCTGCGTATTTATTGCCATGCGTTATTTCTAGAGCTAGCGCTTTTCTGTGATTTTCGCTTCGCAGGAGGTTTCCAGTAACGAGCGTCTTCACGTCATAATCTTCTTCGTTTAATTCGAGGAGTTTGTCGATAGCGTTATATTCACTTTCCCCTCTCGTGCTGTGAGCCGTCTTCTCTTCGACTTCCCTCTTAATGGTGTGGGTGTCGTCCAGTAAAAAATTTAAGAGAGACTCGAATAACGAGGATGCGTCTAGTGCGCGCAAGTCGCTGTATATCTTTTTTTCGAAGTCGGTCTTCCAGTCATTACTATGATGACTTTCGTCCGACAGAAGATCGTGTAAATCTAAAAAGGTATTCACAAACTTCTCGCTATCGTTGTTAGGAGTCGACGACGACATTTTTATTTTATCGGTAATATTTCCTGCGCTCTCTCGTGCATCGGAGACGTTCGAGCGATATCTCTCATTAAGATCTGTTATCCATATTAGATACCCCACGCGCAGTATAGACTCCCATGCCCGTGCAATCTTCTCGGAATCGCATACGCGGTTTAAAAATGCAATCACGAAAATAACAGGCGAGATGAACAAACATCTCGCGCCTGGGGGGTGGAAGACGACACACCGTGATAAGTAGCGTATCTCGCAGCACGCCGACGGTTCGACGCTCCAAATACACCTAATCGACATGCCATCGTCAGAATCGTCCGACGTTGTTATCGGCATCGATCTCGGCACTACCTACTCGTGTGTTGCCGTCTTTCAGAATGGAACGGTGGAGGTCATCGCAAACGACCAGGGCAATCGGACCACACCGTCCTACGTGGCCTTTAACGACAAGGAGAGGTTGATAGGCGAGGCTGCTAAAAATCAGGCCGGCACGAATCCCACCAACACCGTATACGACATAAAGCGCATCATAGGTTTAAAGAACGACGATCCTAATGTGCTCGAGGAAATCGAGAACTGGCCGTTCGAGGTTATCAGCGGCGAGGACGACAAACCCAGGATAAACGTGATGTATCGGGGCGAGCCGAAATCCTATTCTCCCGAACAGATATCGTCGATGGTCCTGTCGAAAATGAAAGAGACGGCCGAAGCGTATTTGGGCACCGCGGTGAAGAGAGCGGTCATTACGGTGCCGGCGTACTTTAACGATTCTCAGCGACAGGCGACTAAAGACGCCGGAACTATTGCCGGGTTCAGGGTCGAGCGGATCATCAACGAGCCGACGGCGGCTGCCGTTGCCTACGGTCTGAGTACGATCAAGAAAAGCAACAATGCGGATATCAGCGAAGAGAAGAATATTTTAGTATTCGACTTTGGCGGTGGCACGTTTGACGTATCGATCTTAAACATGGCCGAAGAGGTGATTGAGGTTAAAGCCACGGCCGGAGACACTCACTTGGGAGGAGAAGACATCGACGATAAGTTGGTCGAACATTTTATGGGCGTCATCAAGAGGAATTACAAGCAAGACATAAAGGACAACAAACGAGCACTGCGACGCTTAAAGACCGAATGCGAAAAGGCCAAGAGAACGCTGTCGTCGTCCACTCAGGCCGAAATCACAATCGAGTCTCTCTGCTCTGGTATCGATATGAGCTTCGCTCTGACCCGGGCTAGATTCGACGAGATTTGCCACAGTCTCTTTCAGAGGACCATCGATCTTGTGACAAGGGCCTTAGTGGACGCCAAGATGGACAAGAATTCTATACACGACATTGTGTTGGTCGGAGGATCTACCCGCATACCTAGAGTGCAAAAACTCTTGCGGGACTATTTCGAAAAGGACCCGATCAAATCAATCAACCCGGACGAGGCCGTCGCCCACGGGGCTGCTGTACAGGCAGCCATCATATCCGGGGACACGAGTAAAGCTCTGTCCAACATGCTCCTCATCGACGTGGCTCCTCTGTCGTTAGGCATAGAGACACACGGTGGAGAGATGACAACAGTGATCGAGAGAAACACGAGCATCCCCGCGAGCAGGAGTAGCATATTCACGACTTTCCAGGACGATCAAGAAAGCGTGGAAATCAAGGTGTTCGAGGGAGAACGTCCGTGTACCAAAGACAACAACCTGCTAGGCACCTTCTCGCTGAATGGGATACCCAAAGCTCCGAGGCACACACCTCAAATCGAGGTATCTTTTGACATTGACGTCAACGGAATTCTCGATGTGAGGGCAGTCGAAAAGAGCACCGGCGTCGAAAAGAAGATAACCATCAAAAACGACAACCGCATATCTAAAGAAGAGATAGAGCGAATGATTCAGGAAGCTGAAAGGAACAAAGAGAACGATAATAAAATAAGAGAGGCTATCGAAGAAAAGAATGGATTGGAACAGGCCTGTTACCAGTTGAAGGGCCTTTTATCAACGACCACATCGGATAAAAAAGAGGATTATGTGAAGCAGGTAGACGAGTTATTGAATTGGATCGACGAAACGGACAAATCGGGAATTCCGAAGGAGGCGTATGTAAAAAAGAGACAAGAGCTTGAAAAGCTACAGAGTAAAATGATGGAAGAAATAATCGCCTCTGACAAGTCTAGACCGAACGATAAAACGAAAGACGGAAAGGATAAAGAGCCAGTGATCGAAGAAGTCGATTGAATCTGTAATGTGTGTCTGGGTCTGTATGTCCAACTAACCGACCGCGTACTACCTACATGTCCATCCGCCTATAATATCGGAATCTTGTATGACAATTTTATTAAGCTATGACGAGATATATATATATATATGATGTTATTCTATACACTTGTCTACCTACTATATAAACTCGTCTTACTATTATATGCTATATCACTAGACGAATAAGAGATATTTTGAACTCGCATATGTAAACTTACGTCTTACGTTTCTTATTATGTCGTGTATCGCTAGGGTTGATTTCTTTCCTTTCTTATTGTTTCACGTATCACTAGGTATTATTTGCATATCTTATTATATCTCATATCGCTAGACGAATAAAGATATTTTAAGCTTACAGGTGAGTTTTACATTTTTCCCTCGGTTTTCGCCACCACTCTTCGCGTGGAAAAAAATTAAAGATGGAGAAAGTTCCTCTCAGATTCCATACAAGGCGTAGACGTCTTATCGTGCTTCAAGATTAAAACTGTTAGACAAGAAAAGAGCAGTCCACTCATGATCTTGAGAGATTATACAAAGACCATACCAGGTGTCCCGCATCGGCAGTGGTTTTTGGTGAGAGGAGGCGGTCCCTCGTCAAGAGAAATGATGGTCCTCTCGATGACAGTTAGACGTTCTCAAGTAATTACAATAACAGTGTGTCGACCGTAGCACCGGCTCTGCTCCTGGCAAGCTTTTTAACGATCCGGCATTAACACGCTTACCTGAATAGCGTCGGTTGACCGACTGTAATTTGTACGATAAAAAAAAAAAAAACGTAGTTTCGCGAACGATCCCCTTGGCCGGGAATAGGCGAACTCGTACCTTCAGGTTCAGAGGGGTATGACCCCAGAACATCATTTTCAATCGGGGCAAAGCCACGGTGAAACTGGCTTTCCTGTTTCAAAGAGCTTCAAGAAGGATGGGAGAGATCCTCCCTCGCGAAGAAGACCAGCGGGAGCATCCGACGTTCAACCCGCTGGTAAGAAATATACGGCTGGTCGCAAAGCGACTCGCTTAACCCGCGCAAGCGAATTTCAAAGGGAACGACACGAGACGGTCTTCGCTTCTGGCGCTATTTCTATTTTCTCGAGGACGCGACCGAAAGAGGTAGGAATGATGCATCACAATCCCTGGCCATGTCTCAACTCACGTTTCCTTCGACATCATGTGATCAAGGCGTCGCCGATGACGAGCACGATTTTTTCATCTGGTTTATGGGGATTGCTTTCACGAGGGAGAGTGTTCTAAATTATCCACATCGTGTGTGGAGGAAAGCGTCGAACTTTTTCCCACTCTTACAGGCCCGTTATAGCAACAAATTATAACAACAACAAGAGGAAGAGTAACACAACAACCACATGTACCACCACTACTACTACCACTACTACTACTACTGATACATGTATAGATATATGGAAACGCAGTACGGCGAGAGCGGCTACAAGACTTTTCACCACGATTCACGGATAACGTAATGAAGAACAAACTAACGATCCGGCCGAACGCCTCCAAGTCATAATCAAAACGTCGAATAAGATTTCATAACACAAAAAACACTCCCATCGTCGATTTTACAGCTACTGTACCTACATTTTCTCACAGAGAATTCTGAACAATAGAACAATATACCCTCTTGCCATTAAAGGAGGGAAGTCGAAAGAGTTTCTCCTCGGAACGCTATTAAACAGTGAGTGGATTTTATTGTACAGTCTGCTCCAACAGATTGTCAGTTTAACATACTTCACTTTATAGGTTACCAAGCACACCGAATCTTAATCTTCAGATTGTTTCGGTCCCGTCTTAATCGCTGTCTCTTTACTAACGGCCAACCTGTCCCAGACGGTAGTTCACGCTGCCGTAAACTTAAACATATGCAAGAAACAAGCCGTATATTTTACGCTCTCAAAATATTCTCAGTTCGTTCTACTATCCATGCAACCACCGTTGGTGTGGCTCGACCATTTTTCCCGTTCGATGATAATGACGCTGAAGGTTTGTATCGTCCACTTATCGGTTTTCACTCGTTACGGACGTAGCGAATATGTTTAAGGGTTTATCTTCAAAATGGCCCAGATGGATTTTTTTCAGAATACGGCATGTCTGTTATAAAAGCTAGGAACCTATAACCATATCGACAATAACATAACGTATTTAATAATAATCATTAATAACAATAATACAGTAGTAGTTGACTAATAATGTTAACAGAAGTCTTATTCCAAAAAAAAACAAAGTAAAAAGTAGAAGTCCGCGAGCGCATCTTCATCCAAGAGAAAATGTAACACGACTGATAGCAGAGAGGAAAAGCGCCAGTGGAAAGAAAACCAAAATTTTAAACCGATTGGATGACGGTAGTGCTGGTGGTAGAGGTGGCTGCGGTAGTAGTACTGATGTTTGTTGGTCTGCTACTGCTGCTGTTGTTTACTGGTGATGAATGATGATGAAGGACGACGATTGCGAACAACCCGGTGTTCTATGTTAGCTAACGATAGAATAGAGCCACGACATCATCATCATCATCTTGTAATGACAATTTTATTAAGCTATGACGAGATATATATATATGATGTTATTCTATACACTTGTCCTACCCTTACTATTATAAACTCGTCTTTACTATTATATCGTTCACTAGACGAATAAAAGAGATATGTTGAAACTCGCATATGTAACTTACTTCTTCCGTTTCTTTTATGTCGTGTATCGCAAGGTTTGATTTCTTTCCTTTCTTGTTGTTTTCACGTATCACTAGGTAAGTATTTGCTATCTTATTATATCTCATATCGCTGACGACTAAAGATATTTTAAAGCTTACAGGTGAGTTTATCATTTTTCCTCGGTTTTCGCCACCACTCTTCGCTGTGGAAAAAAAGATAAAGATTGAAAAGTTCCTCTCAGATTCCATACAAGGGCGTAGACTGTCCTTTATCGTGTCTTCAAGATTAAACACGTTTAGACAAGAAAAGAGCAGTCCACACTCATGATCTTGAGAGATTTACCAAGCCATAACCGGTGTCTTCATCGGCATGTTTTTGGTGAGAGGAGGCGGTCCCCTCGTCAAGATAAAGGATGGTCCTCTCGATTGAACATGTTTAGACTTTCTAAGGAATTACACTAACAGGTGGTCGACCGTGGGCACCGGTCTCCTGGCAGCTTTTAACGATCCTGGCATTACAACTCTTACCTGATACGTCGGTTTGACCGACGTGTAATTTGTACATAAACGTATTTCTCGAACGATCCCCTGGCCGGAATAGGCGAACTCGTATCTTTCAGGTTCAGAAGGGGTAGACCCCAGAACGTCATTTTCCAATCGGGCAAGCACGGGGAACTGGCTTCCTGTGTCAGAGCTCAAGAAGGATGGGAGAGATCCTCGCGAAGAGACCAGCGGGAGCATCCGACTGTTAACCGCGTAGAAATATACGGCTGGTCCGCCAAAGCGACTCGCTAACGCGCAAGCGAATTTAAAGAGGACGACACGAGACGTCTTCGCTTCTGGCGCTATTTTCTATTTTCTCGAGGACGCGACGAAAGAGTAGGAAGATTCATCAACAATCCCTTTGCCATTTCTCCCCCACGTTGCTTCGACCATCAATGTGATCAGGCGTCGCCGATGAACGAGCAACGATTTTCCTCTGTGGCGTTTTATGTGGGGGATTGCTTTCGGGAGAGTGTTTTCTATTATCCGACATCGGTGGTGGAGGAAGCGTCGAACTTTTTTCCCACCTCTTACAGGCCGTTTATAGAATACAAATATAATAACAACAACACAGGAAGAGTAACAACAACAAAACATGTACCACCACTACTACTACCACTACTACAGTAGTAGTGTTATATAAGTGGTGGTACATGTGTTGTTGTTGTTACTCTTCCTCTTGTTGTTGTTATTATATTTGTATTCTATAACGGCCTGTAAGAGTGGGAAAAAGTTCGACGCTCTTCCTCCACACACGATGTCGGATAATAGAACACTCTCCCTCGAAAAGCAATCCCCCATAAACGCCAGAGAAAAATCGTGCTCGTTCATCGGCGACGCCTTGATCACATTGATGTCGAAGGAAACGTGAGACATGGCAAAGGGATTGTGATGCATCATTCCTACTCTTTCGGTCGCGTCCTCGAGAAAATAGAAATAGCGCCAGAAGCGAAGACGTCTCGTGTCGTCCTCTTTTAAATTCGCTTGCGCGTTAGCGAGTCGCTTTGCGACCAGCCGTATATTTCTACAGCGGTTAACGTCGGATGCTCCCGCTGGTCTCTTCGCGAGGATCTCTCCCATCCTTCTTGAGCTCTTGACACAGGAAAGCCAGTTCACCGTGCTTGCCCCGATTGGAAAAATGACGTTCTGGGGTATACCCCCTCTGAACCTGAAAGATACGAGTTCGCCTATTCCCGGCAGGGGATCGTTCGAGAAATACGTTTTATCGTACAAATTACAGTCGGTCAACCGACGTATCAGGTAAGCGTGTAATGCCGGATCGTTAAAAGCTTGCCAGGAGACCGGTGCCACGGTCGACACACTGTTAGTGTAATCCTTGAGAACGTCTAACATGTTCATCGAGAGGACCATCCTTTCTCTTGACGAGGGACCGCCTCCTCTCACCAAAAACAATGCCGATGAGACACCCGGTATGGTCTTTGTATAATCTCTCAAGATCATGAGTGGACTGCTCTTTTCTTGTCTAAACGTTTTAATCTTGAAGCACGATAAGACGTCTACGCCTTGTATGGAATCTGAGAGGAACTTTTCCATCTTTAATTTTTTTTCCACGCGAAGAGTGGTGGCGAAAACCGAGGGAAAAATGTAAACTCACCTGTAAGCTTAAAATATCTTTATTCGTCTAGCGATATGAGATATAATAAGATATGCAAATAATTACCTAGTGATACGTGAAACAATAAGAAAGGAAAGAAATCAACCTAGCGATACACGACATAATAAGAAACGTAAGACGTAAGTTTACATATGCGAGTTCAAAATATCTCTTATTCGTCTAGTGATATAGCATATAATAGTAAGACGAGTTTATATAGTAGGTAGACAAGTGTATAGAATAACATCATATATATATATCTCGTCATAGCTTAATAAAATTGTCATACAAGATTCCGATATTATAGGCGGATGGACATGTAGGTAGTACGCGGTCGGTTAGTTGGACATACAGACCCAGACACACATTACAGATTCAATCGACTTCTTCGATCACTGGCTCTTTATCCTTTCCGTCTTTCGTTTTATCGTTCGGTCTAGACTTGTCAGAGGCGATTATTTCTTCCATCATTTTACTCTGTAGCTTTTCAAGCTCTTGTCTCTTTTTTACATACGCCTCCTTCGGAATTCCCGATTTGTCCGTTTCGTCGATCCAATTCAATAACTCGTCTACCTGCTTCACATAATCCTCTTTTTTATCCGATGTGGTCGTTGATAAAAGGCCCTTCAACTGGTAACAGGCCTGTTCCAATCCATTCTTTTCTTCGATAGCCTCTCTTATTTTATTATCGTTCTCTTTGTTCCTTTCAGCTTCCTGAATCATTCGCTCTATCTCTTCTTTAGATATGCGGTTGTCGTTTTTGATGGTTATCTTCTTTTCGACGCCGGTGCTCTTTTCGACTGCCCTCACATCGAGAATTCCGTTGACGTCAATGTCAAAAGATACCTCGATTTGAGGTGTGTGCCTCGGAGCTTTGGGTATCCCATTCAGCGAGAAGGTGCCTAGCAGGTTGTTGTCTTTGGTACACGGACGTTCTCCCTCGAACACCTTGATTTCCACGCTTTCTTGATCGTCCTGGAAAGTCGTGAATATGCTACTCCTGCTCGCGGGGATGCTCGTGTTTCTCTCGATCACTGTTGTCATCTCTCCACCGTGTGTCTCTATGCCTAACGACAGAGGAGCCACGTCGATGAGGAGCATGTTGGACAGAGCTTTACTCGTGTCCCCGGATATGATGGCTGCCTGTACAGCAGCCCCGTGGGCGACGGCCTCGTCCGGGTTGATTGATTTGATCGGGTCCTTTTCGAAATAGTCCCGCAAGAGTTTTTGCACTCTAGGTATGCGGGTAGATCCTCCGACCAACACAATGTCGTGTATAGAATTCTTGTCCATCTTGGCGTCCACTAAGGCCCTTGTCACAAGATCGATGGTCCTCTGAAAGAGACTGTGGCAAATCTCGTCGAATCTAGCCCGGGTCAGAGCGAAGCTCATATCGATACCAGAGCAGAGAGACTCGATTGTGATTTCGGCCTGAGTGGACGACGACAGCGTTCTCTTGGCCTTTTCGCATTCGGTCTTTAAGCGTCGCAGTGCTCGTTTGTTGTCCTTTATGTCTTGCTTGTAATTCCTCTTGATGACGCCCATAAAATGTTCGACCAACTTATCGTCGATGTCTTCTCCTCCCAAGTGAGTGTCTCCGGCCGTGGCTTTAACCTCAATCACCTCTTCGGCCATGTTTAAGATCGATACGTCAAACGTGCCACCGCCAAAGTCGAATACTAAAATATTCTTCTCTTCGCTGATATCCGCATTGTTGCTTTTCTTGATCGTACTCAGACCGTAGGCAACGGCAGCCGCCGTCGGCTCGTTGATGATCCGCTCGACCCTGAACCCGGCAATAGTTCCGGCGTCTTTAGTCGCCTGTCGCTGAGAATCGTTAAAGTACGCCGGCACCGTAATGACCGCTCTCTTCACCGCGGTGCCCAAATACGCTTCGGCCGTCTCTTTCATTTTCGACAGGACCATCGACGATATCTGTTCGGGAGAATAGGATTTCGGCTCGCCCCGATACATCACGTTTATCCTGGGTTTGTCGTCCTCGCCGCTGATAACCTCGAACGGCCAGTTCTCGATTTCCTCGAGCACATTAGGATCGTGTTCTTTAAACCTATGATGCGCTTTATGTCGTATACGGTGTTGGTGGGATTCGTGCCGGCCTGATTTTTAGCAGCCTCGCCTATCAACCTCTCCTTGTCGTTAAAGGCCACGTAGGACGGTGTGGTCCGATTGCCCTGGTCGTTTGCGATGACCTCCACCGTTCCATTCTGAAAGACGGCAACACACGAGTAGGTAGTGCCGAGATCGATGCCGATAACAACGTCGGACGATTCTGACGATGGCATGTCGATTAGGTGTATTTGGAGCGTCGAACCGTCGGCGTGCTGCGAGATACGCTACTTATCACGGTGTGTCGTCTTCCACCCCCCAGGCGCGAGATGTTTGTTCATCTCGCCTGTTATTTTCGTGATTGCATTTTTAAACCGCGCATGCGATTCCGAGAAGATTGCACGGGCATGGGACGTCTATGCTGCGCGTGGGGTATCTAACACGAACGACAGCTCCTATCGAGAGATGTCGGTCGAACGTCTCAGGTGAACGAGAGAGCGCAGGACATATTACCGATAAAATAAAAATGTCGTCGTCGACTTCTAACAACGACAGCGAAAAGTTTGTGAATACCTTCTTGGATTTACACGATCTTCTGTCGGACGAAAGTCACCACAGTAACGACTGGAAGACCGACTTCGAAAAGAAGATATACAACGACTTGCGCGCACTAGACGCGTCCTCGCTATTCGAGTCTCTCTTAAATTTTTTACTGGACGACACCCACACCGTCAAGAGGGAAGTCGAAGAGACGACGGCTCACAGCACGAGAGGGGAGAGTGGATATAACGGCTATCGACAAACTCCTCGAATTAAACGAAGAAGATTATGACGTGAAGACGCTCGTTACCGGAAACCTCCTGCGAGGCGAAAATCACAGAAAAGCGCTAGCTCTAGAAATAACGCACGGCAATAAATACGCAGGGCTATTTGCCGCCATTGTCAATGTAATGTATCGCTATCTAAAGTTATCCAAGATCATCTGGGTGCACTTTTGGGGAGTTACCAAGATTGAAGACATATTCACCAGCCGCACATTGAGCCAGGAAGAAAACGAAGAGAAGAGCGAGGCAAGGAAAAGGACCATCCAGAAAATTAACCACATAATCGCACAACACACATCGAAAAAATATACAGATCAGAACGACGATAAAATAAATACAAAGTTCGCCGAAAGAAACGAACCCCCTATGAAAACTATCATTGTCGATGTGATCTATCCCTACCTATTAGCTTTGAAAAATATAGAATGAAGATGACGACGACGACGACGGCGACGGCGACGCCGCCGATGATGGTGAGGGTGATAACTCTGATGACGAAAAAAACAGCTCTTCTCTGGCCGTTTGTGGAGGCGTTATTATTTTTGATGTTCATTTTGTCTGTTGCGATCGCTGTCGTCATGTGGTACGGTAAGCGTCATCGAGATCGACACGAAAGATACAATGCGCCAGAGAGAGAAAGAATATATCCCATATTTCTGATAGGTCGAGACGTACCAGACGGGAAGGCTTGCGTCAAGGAACGCTATCTCAATATGGAGGAGTTCATACTGTTTACGATACTCTTTAGAACAGTACGAGAATTTAAACCTCTAACCTGTAAAGACGATTTAGGATGGTATCATTATGTCTATCACATTTCGGGTTGTGTACTTCGTGACATTTTGTGGCCCGACAAAGAAAAAGAAGAAGATATAAATAATGTTGATTCGACTACGTTTACTATTCTAAAAACGATATCGTCTCATGAAGAAAATCAGCTGTACATAGACTACGTTTACGAATTACAAAAGAGGAGAATTCGATATAGTGCGCAATGTTAGTATTAGAGGCGATACGAAATGGATGATACAGAATGTTGATGATTTACTCGGAGTACGTGCATATCGTAAAAGAAATAGATAGAACGTTATCCAAATGGGAAAGGCAGTATAGTACAATTCGATACGGAGGTCCTCTCTGTTGAGCTACTCATACCCTCAAGTATTATTTTGTTTCGCGGCAACACCGTGTCCTTCTCTCGAATCATCGAAACGTTATTGTGTCTTTTTGGCTGGAACTTGTGAATGGCCTTCCTAGTTCTTCTCGGTCGGCAACCGTCTCTTCTCTGGTAATCTTTTCTATTTCGACGACGGATTAGTTTGTCTCTGTTGATAATTGTATATCGGTACTTTGTCAGCAGTAGCTGACATAATCAGGAGACACAAGTGGGTGGGGAGAGATGACAACAGTGATCGAGAGAAACACGAGCATCCCCGCGAGCAGGAGTAGCATATTCACGACTTTCCAGGACGATCAAGAAAGCGTGGAAATCAAGGTGTTCGAGGGAGAACGTCCGTGTACCAAAGACAACAACCTGCTAGGCACCTTCTCGCTGAATGGGATACCCAAAGCTCCGAGGCACACACCTCAAATCGAGGTATCTTTTGACATTGACGTCAACGGAATTCTCGATGTGAGGGCAGTCGAAAAGAGCACCGGCGTCGAAAAGAAGATAACCATCAAAAACGACAACCGCATATCTAAAGAAGAGATAGAGCGAATGATTCAGGAAGCTGAAAGGAACAAAGAGAACGATAATAAAATAAGAGAGGCTATCGAAGAAAAGAATGGATTGGAACAGGCCTGTTACCAGTTGAAGGGCCTTTTATCAACGACCACATCGGATAAAAAAGAGGATTATGTGAAGCAGGTAGACGAGTTATTGAATTGGATCGACGAAACGGACAAATCGGGAATTCCGAAGGAGGCGTATGTAAAAAAGAGACAAGAGCTTGAAAAGCTACAGAGTAAAATGATGGAAGAAATAATCGCCTCTGACAAGTCTAGACCGAACGATAAAACGAAAGACGGAAAGGATAAAGAGCCAGTGATCGAAGAAGTCGATTGAATCTGTAATGTGTGTCTGGGTCTGTATGTCCAACTAACCGACCGCGTACTACCTACATGTCCACGCCTTAATACTCGGAATCTTGTCTGACAATTTTATTAAGCTATGACGAGATATATATATATGATGTTATTTCTATACACTTGTCTATCCTACTATATAAACTCGTCTTACTACTTTATATTCTGCTATTATCACTAGACGAATAAGAGATATTTTTGTAATCGCATATGTAAACTTACGTCTTACGTTTCTTATTATGTCGTGTATCCGCTAGGTTGCTTTCTTTCCTTTCTTATTGTTTCACGTATCACTAGGTAATTATTTGCATATCTTATTATATCTCATATCGCTAGACGAATAAAGATATTTTAAGCTTACAGGTGAGTTTACATCCCCGGTTTGCCACCCACTCTTCCGTTGCTTTTTTTTTGAAAAAAAAATTAAAGATGAAAAAGTTCCTCTCAGATTCAATACAAGGCGTAGACGTCTTATCGTGCTTCAAGGATTAAAACGTATTTAGAAAAGAACAGAGCAGTCCACTCCTGATCTTGAGAGAGTATACAAAGACCATAACGGGTGCTCATGGCATCTGTTTTGGATGAGAGGAGCGGTCCATCGTCAAGGAAAGGATGGTCCTCTCGTATAACATGTTAGACGTTCTCAAGGATTACAAACAGGTTGTGTCACCGTGGCAACCGGTCTCCTGGCAAGCTTTTAACGATCAGGGAATACACGCTTTACACTGATTACGTCGGTTTGACGATGTAATTTGTACGATAAAACGTATTCTCGAACGATCCCCTGCCGGGAATAGGCGAACTCGTATCTTTCAGGTTCAGAGGGGGTATACCCCAGAACATCATTTTTCCAATCGGGGCAAGCACGGTGAACTGGCTTTCCTGTGTCAAGAGCTCAAGAAGGATGGGAGAGATCCTCGCGAAGAGACCAGCGGAGCATCCGAAGTTTAACCGCTGTGTAGAAAGATACGGATGGTCGATAAGCGACTGCTAATAACGCCGCAGAGAATTTAAAAGAGGACGACACGGAGACCGTCTTCGCTTCTGGCGCTTTAT